TTTCACCCGCAAATTTCGTAAATTTTTCACCCCATGGGGATTCGAACTCACGACCTCTGCGACTAGCGGATTACAAGGATACCACTAGACCACCGGGGCGACCGGGTTTCACGCGACCCNTATCGCGAGAAGGGTACAGCCGTCCCTTTCCCTCGTCAACGGTGCTAACCTCGTAGTTTGGTACCCACGAGAGATTTTTAGCTATGTTTCGCTTTCACCCACAAATTTCGTAAATTTTTCACACCATGGGGATCCGAACTCACGACCTCTGCGACTAGCGGATTACAAGGATACCACTAGACCACCGGGGCGACCGGGTTTCACGCGACCCGCCGAATAACTCACGGCGCTTCGTGCTTGGTGATGTGAGAGCCTGGTCCGGTGAGAACCCGGCGTGCTCCGTCCCGGCTTTGTAGGGATGCGAGGTCAATGGTCTAACGACTACGGCATGCACGACTATGAGTANGCACCCTTCATGTGTGTGTGTGTGTGTGTGTGTGTGTTTTCGTCCTATTTATCATGGCGACAGTCCCCCCATTTTTCGTGGTGAGACGTGCACGACACTTTTCAGCGTATGTAGAGTACTACACTTTTCAGTGTATTTTTTTGTACGTCTACAACCATCCAGGGTCAAACAGGAGGGGGTAAACACCAGGGCTTTTTTCTTCTTTTTTTTCTTTTGGTACCCCACCTTCCTCCTGCGGTGCGTGCTGAATTTTATTTTTATCGCGAGAAGGGTACAGCCGTCCCTTTCCCTCGTCAACGGTGCTAACCTCGTAGTTTGGTACCCACGAGAGATTTTTAGCTATGTTTCGCTTTCACCCACAAATTTCGTAAATTTTTCACACCATGGGGATCCGAACTCACGACCTCTGCGACTAGCGGATTACAAGGATACCACTAGACCACCGGGGCGACCGGGTTTCACGCGACCCGCCGAATAACTCACGGCGCTTCGCGCTTGGTGATGTGAGAGCCTGGTCCGGTGAGAACCCAGCGTGCTCCGTCCCGATTAGGCTGGGCACTGCAAAAGCCAACTAACGCACTGAATATGTAAGATCAGTGGAGAATGTTCTCGTTCGTCATTTCTACGCGAGACGTGATGCACCATCGTGGACCTTCTTTAGAAGGGCTACCCACCACCGAAAGCCAAAGTGCCGCAAACACGCATTATCCCCGCAGTCATCACCGAGCTTGCCGATACCGTGCGCCCACGGCTTGGTAGCCGCCGAACGGGGTCCCACGCACCTCTCGCCGACTACCACGCTGCCCGTGTTCCTCGACTCAGCAAAATTTCCAACAATTTTATTCTTCAAGCGTACCCCTTTACGGAGCCTCGTGACGAGGGTCGTTCGGTCTTCAAGATGAAGCTCGGCCAGCCACCGATTCTACATACCCTGTTGTGGTAACTCCCCGCCTCCAGCCCCCACGTCACCCCCCCAAACTCCACAATATTCCATGCAACGGTGCGTTGTCGCGGCTGGCACGCCCTGTAGCCCCACGAAATTCCATATGCCGTCGCGTTTTTGTGGCTGACACGCCCTGTAGCCCTAAACGCGATATCAAATAGCCACGGCGACGGTGCCGCAAGCTTCAACCACACGCGACGTTCCCCCGACAAAAAAACATTTTATCCTGACCGTTCAACAAATATTCACGGGAAAGCCAGCCAGCCACGGGCAATCTACCCGCAGTAGTCCTCCTCATGTCCACAAAAACTGTGTGAGCCGATCCCCGACCTCGTACATAGAACGTCATGAGACAAAGACAGGATAGGAACAAACAAGAACAAAATCTAGCTTATACGTGCTTGCTTCCTAGTTCGTGTTTTGCTCCAGAAGAGGCGGGTGTCGTCTCCTAAGCGAACAGCCTTGGAGTTGCACGACGCCACTCAGACGCCTGTATACGCCCGAGCACACAAGACGCGGAGACGATGGAAGGAAAACAATCAAACGTGCAAGGCAAGGCGAGGGAGATGGGGCGGGTGAGTTCTAGGTTCGATAATGTTGTTGAGCGGGGCCCCGCTGACACGAATCCGCCACATAGCGCCGCACGCGAGAATGTTTTGACTCGAAGTGTTCCAAGGTTCTCCTGCCGGTGACGATACCTTGGCTTGCCGCCACAAGCAACAAGCGGTTCTCGGCGCTACTATTTTTCGACACACACAAACAAGCCGTTATCATCCAGGTGGAAAGAGCCGACCCCCCCTTGAATCGCCAAAAGCCCTACTCTAGTTCTCTTACCTCTGCTTGAGACGCCGCTGAGGGCAGGGCCAAGGACCCAAACCCAGCAAGCGGGGACGGCACCCCTGGCCAGGCCGTACCAACGTCTTCGTCCCAGCTTCTTTCCTCGAAACCTTGGATCGATTCCCCAGCACCGTAGGAGCCCTGTTGCCGCGCGCCCGAAGATACCAGGGTTCCGGCTGTGTTGTTGGTGCCCCCGCCCGTTGCACCACCGGCGATATCCTCGCGGTCGTTCCAGGAAAGAGCAGCCAGCTGGTCCTCCACAAAGGAGAGCTCTGCGGCTGAGTGCGAGCCACGGTTGCCGCAGTCGCGAGGAGGAGGAGGAGGGCCGCTCATATCCGGCACGTTTACGCCCGGCGCGCGCGATCGGGTCGGATCGCCGCCGCCGAAGTGCCCCAGAGCGACCCCGCCGCTCTTGTTGCCCTCCTCGGCGGCACGCCGGAGCTGTTTGATCTGCTGCTTCAACGCGGCGATGCTCTCCAGCTCGTATCGTTGCCGCTGCCTCTGCATCACCAGTTGCTCTTGCTGCTGCTGCCTTAGGAGCTGCTGCTGACCGGCCGCAGCGTCTCTCTGCAGCTGTTGCGGTGCCTCAGCGGCGTCCCTCATCCCGAAGAATGGCGGCGCTGGCCTCGCGGGGTGCCGGTACTGAGTTGGGTTCCATAGCTCTTGTGCCGACGGGTCGGGGGCACCGCCGCCGCCGCCGCCGAAACCTTGGAAAGAGGCGGAGGCCGAAGTAGGGGACGAGCCGTCCAGCGGCGACAAGTTTAACGGGGAGGTGTTGCTTTGCGTCTCCGGCGTAGCCAGGGAGGAGCCGCGCCCCTTTCCCCAGCCGGCACTGCTGCCGTACGCACCGCCATCGAAGTCTTGAGCGGGCTGCGGCGTGGGATAGTACGGGTTGCCGTCAACGGTCGCAAGGTCGTCCGCGCGACCGCCGCCGCGGCCGCCGCCACCGAACTCGAAGGAGCAGTCGAAAGCATGGTCGGGCAGTCGGAACACGTCCTGTGGCGGCGACCCCGGCACCGCTCTCGCCGCCGCCGCCGTCAACTCGAAGTGGCTCGCTTGTTGACCGGCGGCGGTCCTCTGCCCCCCGTACTCGTTCGACACGCCGGCCGGGTGGCCGTACTGCTGCTGCGAGGGCGTCGTCGGGGCGCCGCCGCCGCCGCCGCCGCAGGCGTCGTGACCGTGGCACACCAACCCCGGCGTGCCGGTCGCCCCGCCCCTCCGCCCGCGCTGCCCGCGGTGCCTCCTCCGGCGTGGCCGCTCGTCGCTGCCGCTAAGGCTGAGGCTGCCGCCGTCGAGTGGCAGGGGAGAACCCGGCGTCAACGGGGCGCCGCCGCCCGCCCACCTCGCTGCCTCCGCTCCCGGGAACGCCCCTCCAAAGCAGTCGACACAGTCACCGCCGCCGCCGCCCCCGCCGCCACGGGTCCGGCAAGGGTGGCAGTCGTGCGGCGAGGGCGGCAACAACGTCGGTTGTGCTTTTGGTGGCGGAGGAGCGTTCCCCCCCGCGGTGTTGTGGCGGCAGAGCTCACCCTCGCGCCGGTGCTGGTACCTGCCGCCCATGTTTCCACCGTCTCGCTGGGGCTTCCCGCCGCCCGCTCTTCGGTACGGCGCCGGCGGCATCGGGCAGGGCGGGGGAAACACCGGGTTCGTCGGCCGGCGGGCGGCCGTGTCGCCGCGGTCTCCGAGAACCTCTTCCTTGAACGCGAAGCTGGAGCCGTGCCGGGCAAGGCCAAGCTGGACCTCGTCCTGCGGGCGACAAAAAAATAAATGATCGAAACATCGTTTTTTGGACAGGGTGGGGAGGTGCGTCGTTGCTGGAACGTCAGAGAGCGGGATGAGGTTTTTCGGTGCCGTGGAAAGCTACAACGCGTGATTTTGGTCGACAATGCCGCGAGAAAAGAACGCGGTGTGAGACTTCGCCGCCTCTTCACTCGCACCTGATTGCACTTTCGAAAAACAACGTGTTCTGCATGCTTCATTTCTGTAGAAGTTGGCGAGGAAACTAGCCCAGATTATTCATTCGTGGTCACCACCAAAACGCGAAAAGCACTCTTACAAGACCCTTCGAGCCTGAAAATTCAGCCGGCGGGTACGCGATGGAAATCCACGCCGAAACAAAAATGGCGCCACATTTCTCTTGTTGTGTATGCGAATCCTGCCAAACCATCATGGGTGCTTAATCAACAGGCGCGTTGAATATGAAGGCGTGTCTGCTGTGTAAACGAAACAGACGGACCTGAGTCATGGAGAGGGGTTACGATAGGGAAGCTGTCCTGACAAAACAATCCATGCCCTTGTGTGCCGATACGTCATACCTCGAGAGACGGTCGACACATCGAAACACTGCAAGCAGATCAACCGAGTACAGAACCAGAAAAGAAAACAACCAACGCCGACGCCGTCGGAACAACAGCAGGAATACAAATACACAGCGGCTTAGATGACCGGCGAAGGGGAGGAAAAAGAACGAGCAACGATGTTGCAAAAAGCTGTGTTCTGCTCGGGAAACCGTGGAAATACAGGTTAGCCTTCGTTGACACTATGGATTCATTGCTAGTCCACATATCTCTTTTCAATATAGAGATGGATTCGTTGGGTCACACTAAAAAAAGAAGAGAGAAAAAAACGTCGACAAAAAGAAAAAAAACTCCCAACATATACAGAACAAAAAAAAATAAAAAAGTACCCTGCCTTGGTGAAACGGTCCTCCTCGTCGCCCAGCTCGTGGAGGTAGAGGCAATCCGGGTTGTTGCAGGGGAGGTTTCGCAGGAAGCTGTTGCAGTACTTTGTCGTGCCGAAGCTGGCCCGGATGGTGCGTCCCATCAGGCGGAAGCCGTCGACGGAGCAGACGGCCGCCCACGCGTCCTCCTGGCGGCGGAAGGTGATGTACGCGCTGGCCGAGCCGTAGCGAGGGTCGTCCTGGGGGACGCCCTCGTGGTGGTTGATGACGAGCTTGGCGATTTCGCCGTACTGGCCGAAGTACTCCGGCTGGCACACAGGCACGGAGGGAAAAAAATGTGGTGGTTGGTTTTGTGTACTGGGGGCGGGGGAGGCTACCAGGGGTTGGTTTTGTCCGAGAACGAAGGTCGACTGGAGCAATCGAACATGCGCTGCTCCGCCGGAGGCAAAAACAAGAAGGCGGAGGTCGTGTTGTTTAGTACCATTGTGGGGGGTTGGTTGGTTTGGTCCCTGAGAAAAGGGGCTATTCTTACGATATCAGCAATCGGACATGCGCTCCGCCCGGAGCGCAGGGGAGACGTGCGGTGTGCTCGTTTACAATTGGTAAGATAGGCAGGAGGGGGGTGTTGCCATGTGTCGTATTTCCAAACTTAAACGAACCCACTTTTTCTTGTCCTCCCCGACAAAAGAGCAGTATCAACACGCGTCCCCGAAACTGCCCATCTACTGCAAACGGTGTAATTTCACGAGGGTGCACGTAATTAACGTCGTTCCGCATCCGAAGGAGTAACAAGTAACGAAATGCTACTCACTGGAAATAAATATGCACATACCTTTCGAATGTGGGTACATCTCGCACGGGTACAAGTAATAGTCTTCCTGGGAGTCTTACGTTTGTTTTCTTAACATGCTCCCGCAGTCTCTGTGGGTTGAAACCTGTCCTGTTAGGACTGAAAAGGCGGCCACATACGCCTGCGCCCGCGGTTGGTACGTTCGCACCCCTCCTCCTTATGCCGTTTCGTCCGGCGTTCACCGCGAACGAACGCACCACCGCCCCAAGCGGTCGTCGGGACGGACGGATGGAAAATGAGGCGCTGCTGCTGTGCGCACCAGCTCCGACTACACAGCAGTACTGCTTCCGTTCTGTTCACCTGTTTGAGCGTGTTGACCTGGGCGAAGTTGGGCGACAGGCCGATGGCGTAGACGAGGGTGCGCCGGACGACGCGAAGGTTCTGCAGGGCCCGCCGATCCGCCCCTCGAATGAAGACGCCCTTCTGCTGCTGCTGCTGCGGCTGCTGCGGCTGCTGATCTGAGCCCGGCAGGCCCTCGCTGTTCTGGTGGCAAGCGGCGTGATCATTGCTTTCTTGTTCGCCTTCTTGTGCGGGGGTCACGGAGCGGGCGCTGCAGCCGCGCGAGGCGGAGGAGCTCCCATCCCACATGTTGTCCCTGCTGTGCGGATAGAGGGGTGGGGGGGTGGGGCGTCGATGAAATTGTGTCAGTTGGTTCGCCGTGCATGGGTGTAGTGGTAGACAGAAGGTATCTGCTAATCTTGGAGACGGCAGCTAATACAGCGAGAAGGCCGCTTCGAGAGATGCCAAGGGGGCAAACAAACAATCAAATACAAGCATGCAAAGGAGTGCGGAACGGACGGCTGCGGGGGGGGCGGTTGGTCGGAAATGAACCGTACCCAAGAAAAATGGTTTGTTCCTGCGGGAGGACCAAAAACGAGAGGGACGCGAGTTAAAGAAAACGATGCTGGCTCGCCGAGACACTTTTGACACCCTACATGCGCATCTTGGACATGCAGAGGAGGTTGGAGACACCCTGATAAAAAGCAGTGTAGTGGTTCTGGCGGGTGCCAGTCACTTGTCCGCCCTCTGTTCCCCTCTTCGTCGTTGTCTTGTTTACGTGTACTTTCCTTTCCAACCACCGCGCCGTCGGAGAAGGGTTCAGGAGACCAGAAGATGACCCGTCTTTCATCTGGTCTGTGGCGTACCAAGGCTAAACCAGGGGATATACCTACCCCTTTGGCCCGTGATGTTGACTTCCAGTCTATGTTTACCTCGCATGGAATGTAGATGCGAGCGTAGGGTTCTACAACAGCCTTTATCTTTTTCTTGGTAGGTTAGCCTGTGACCACGGGCATCGAACGCCTCAAGTGTGAGACTATTATCTAAGTACGGACAGATGAAGGCACTGGGTGGAGAGATCGGAACGGTTTTCAACAACAGCAACAACAACAACAACTCTGAGCGAGGAACCGACCCATGTTCACATGAACATTAGGTTCAAGACATTCTCCGTACTGTGTGCGAAGAATGGACCCCAGATGAACCAAAAATTCAACATTAGTCTACCTTCGGAAGTTTACTGTAGTTTCACAACCGCAATCGACCCTCTCGCTCTGCTGATGTATCATATTATAATACTTCAGTATGTGGTAGTAGAATAAACGAAGTACGCAGCAGTAAAAATGCCCAGAGCTCGGCAAAGCGAGAGTAGAGCATCACACACACACATGGATACTCCAGGTTGTAACAGGCATCGTCGATGCGTGCGGTGTATCAACATGATACATGCGTTCAGTACATCCACAATTAATTGATGCATGACAAAAACGAATACCTAAATTTAGCCTTAGGATCAATGTACACAACGCAATACCATTCTTTGAATTTTAAGTGAAGGCACGCACTTGATGCCTGGGAGGTACGCGGGGTGGATGGACGTCGTGCGTGCGTGTTGTTACACACAGCCAAGACTTCGTGAAATTGCAAAAAAAAAATAATCAGTTCAACGAAGGAAATCAGTTCATGGTGGGGGCGGACGGAAAGGCACGCGCTCGAGGCTCGTGGTGTAGGATATTTCACGAAAAAAAAAAAAGAGGAAAAACAAACAGGTTTGTGCTGCAGCTACAGATCAATGAAGGTTTGCCGGGCAATGGAGAGCCGTGCTCCACCGCACGAGGGAGACACGGGCCTTGTTCCCAACTATTACGGAGGAGGGCTACGTAACTCAGCTAGGGGTGCTGGCTTGGCGTGCAACACTAGTATTCACTTGTCGACAGGAAAACGTGGTCGGTTGCAGCAGTATGCGGAGAAAAGGCGGACACGCGACAGGTTGCTGTTCAGTTCTTAGGAGCGCGTGTGTGTCATGTGGATGGCATACGGGGGATCTACATGTTGCGCTAGGTTGCGTGAGTGTGCCTCCGCGTCCGTACAAGGTGGCACCAAAAGCGCCGCTAGCGAAGATCCAATGTGCTCCCGGGGGTTAAGGGGGCAAGGTCTCACCTCATCGTGTTTTGGTGTGTGCGGTCGGCCGGTTGGCTGCTTGCTGCTACTACTGCTGGTGCTGAAACTTCGACCCCTCGCAGTGGCTGTTTGTGAAAAAACAGACCGAGAGAGAGAGAGGAGCCATCAGCGCAATACATCCAAGCAGGAGCAAGGGTGCAGTTGTTGCCCTCCCTCTCTAACATAACGCCTAGCGTTGTTGTTGCTACCGTGCTCTCCTGTTTGAACCATGTGGAGTATCAGGGAACACACGCAGCTAGTGCTTGCTGCTGCTCTTTAGCTGCAGGTGTAGCATAAATCCACGAGCACGTTACTATACAAATTTACCGTTATCGCCGACTTCTACTGGAGGCTCGATCACTTCTGGAGTAAGCCGGTGTGGCCTGGCAAACGTCTCACCTTGTAGATGCTGGAACTACTTTCTTGATGCTCCAGGCCTGTCCCTTCAGGGCCAGAGGGCTGCCTGCTCTGCTGGTTGCCTGCTGCCTGCTGCTGTGGAAAAAGCGGTGATATCTCTACTACATATAGATTCCTTCGTGTCGAGATACAGCACCGCCACCGACGCTCCACGAGTGAGGGTGCAAGGGAGTAGCGAAGAGACCCAGCAGACGGGCTGCCGGCCCTTGTGCTGTGCCCACCACCCTTCTTTTTTCGAATCCACCGCGGTGTGGGCTTTGAGTGTCGGATGTGCGAAGGTGTGCGTGGTTGACTTTTTTCGCGCCTCCGGATAAACGAAAAAATGCTCGCACGAACGAGAATCAAACTAGAAGAAATGGCTATTTGTTGTTGTTTCGTTGTTGTTGTTTTCGACAATAGCTCCATCAATAGCTCTATAGCCCACCAAAAATGTGTGTCTACAATTATGAATCTTCGTGCCATCTGGAATCTTCTTCGCGTGCTTCTTCGAGAAAATAGGGCATGGGGGAGTAGTAAACCCCTGTTGTAGCGTAGAGACACGCCTCATCATTCGTTGTACAACCCACTACTACCGGGGGTTGTTTCAGATCGCGGTGCCCCACCCCGAGTGCTCTCACAGGTTGTGTACTGCTCCACGCGACCACGCGCCGGCGCGACGCACAGCACAGGGAGAGAGCAGCGACAAAGCCACGCACCGTCGATCATCGTGAGCAGGTTTCTTACCCGTGGAACTCAGCGTGTTGTTTGTTGCGTTCGAGATAATGCAAAGTACTTGCCGTTCCCTCAACTACAACTCGTCGTGCATGCGACGGCTGCGGTTGTGTGTTGTTTGCCTTGATGATGCTGTGTGAGCGCTTGCTACCTGCGCCCTACCGTGTGCTCATCGATGATATGTGTGCTGGTAGTGATGGGATGTAGGCGCTCACTCAAGAAGCGCCTACTCCTGCTGTTTCCGTTAGTTGCTCATGCCAGCTTGTTGTTGCACGCTCCCCTGCTTTGGTGCCAGCAACAAGCATGTAGTCTACTGAAGTATCCTCATCAACTGACACGTTGCAACCGCCGACTGCTCCTCGTCGTCTGGGCTGACTACACCACAGCACCACCCCTTGTCCACTCTACGAATTCCAACCCACTTTGCCGCCCCGATCGTACTCTTCCCCTCAAATATTGCCGCAGAAACGCCCGGAGTAAACATGGCGCGCGGCTTCTGCGCCGTTGTTGGGGTGCTGCTGCTAGGCCAGGCGACCGCGTTTTTCGGCTCGCCGTCGGCGTTCATGACGGGCACCATGTCGCCCGGCCTCAGGACGCCGGGAACGACGTCGGTTCTCGGGCGGGAGGCGAGAACCTACCGACGATTGTCGACGACGAAGTCGGGGGCCGCCTCCACGGTCATGATGCCCATCGGCGTGCCTAAGGTATGTGCGATCTGTGTACACTTGTACGTACTTTACAATGAATGTGGGCGGGCGTGCGAGTGGTGGTCGCCTTCTCAACAGCAGTCAATAGTGTCTTATGTTGAGCGCCTGTTACTGCTGTAACCCACCACAAGGGCGATATCGCTGTATGCTGCTTGGGGAATCGTAGAGATGCAGGTTTGATCAACGTGTATGAACGAATTCATTGCTGTTCTGTCCCGCGGACTCATGTTTCTGTGGAAGAGACGGAATTCGTCGTGTTTTTCGATGAGGTACAAGAATGCCAACCGAGTTCGCTGCAAGGAAGCGCTATGCTACAGCTCTTGCCTTGTCACCGCGTTCAAACACGACTTGTTTTCATTGTCTCTTCTACAAGACTTTTGCACGTCGTTTGAGGCAGGGATGTTCACATGAGTTGTATGCACACATAATGTATTTTTGTGTCCCTCTGAGCTAGGTACAGTACCCATCGGGAGCAACGTATCGGGAGCAACGGGGTTGGGGGCAGAGTTGCAAAAGTCGCCCGGGGAACATATCGATTACTTGGGTGGCTTTCCGGCATTTGCGGGGGGATTAAATGTTGATGCGCGTTTCGGAGGATTTACTGTTGGCTCAACAACTGGACAGGCGAGATGGTGTAGTGTTGCATCGCCTTCGGGCAGCAGTGCACTTGTCCATGGAAGGCTTGGAGCAAGAAGGGGAAGGAATGGGCCGGCAGCTCTATGTGCCGATGACCTGTCGGCAGTCGAAGTGTTGGCACAAGGCTGGTACACTTTGCGTACGCGTGGATACAGCAACTGCCCAAGTGCTGCTGCAACAAGTACCCAAGTGCTGTTGCCGCGCTCCCGCGCCACCGCCGCCTCGAGGTCGTGGATGCTGCGTGCGCGACGCTGCCAACAGCCGGGGAGCAGACGCACAAAGTGGCAAATACAAAATTGAGCACCGAAGCCCGTTCTTGTAATTTTCTTTTTTGAACTTGTTGTTCTGCTGCTACTGCGTGGCAACATAAATCATGGCACGGCCCAACGGCAAGGTGGCGGATCCTTTGTTTTGTTGGCTCGACGTAATATACTTGTGAGAGCAACACACCAGGCGCATGCGGATCCCACCGTGTTTTTGCCAAGCTAGTGCAGCACAGATGCAGACAGAGCGCTCTCAACGTATACAGGTAGACCGGACCTGGCTAAGCCACTCGACACGGTCTATTTGTTGTTTTCTTGCGCGGTTTTCGCGTCTCCAAATTTTATTTGATTCGTGAAGGTGGCGTACCGAGTGCCGGGGGCGCCTACCGCGGACTGGGTGGACATCTACAACCGCCTCTACCGGGAGCGCATCATTTTCTTGGGGCAAGAGATCGACGACGAGCTGGCCAATCAGATCATCGGGGTTCTGCTGGTGAGATGGTGTTGTTGTGCTCGGGTCTCGCTTGCGGAAGATATACTTCTAGTTCTTTGTTAGAAAAAAGTATATGAATACAGAAATATGTACTGGGCTGATTCTTTTTTTGTCCAAGGTTGATTAGGTGCCCACACTGCCGTCCGGTGCTGCTTTTTTGCCTCAGCACCCGAAAGAATGAAACAGAGCCGTCACGAACGCGAAAGCCCAGCCTTGTTAATGTCGCTACTATTATATCTGCTTTGGTTTTCTGATGCCAAGTTTGTGTTGACGTCGTAAGCCCACCACCATGATGTACTTAATGTTGTTTACGGCCACCCGCGAGTGCTGTCGCGCACCACCGCAGCTACATCTACGACACAAATCTGCTTTGCGAATCGACCCCCGTCCCCCCATCCACCCAATCGGTCCATTCCAGACTGAAATACACGTACCCCTCCTCTCGTATTCCCAGTAACGGGCCTCCAAGGGCAATGCACCAACAATCCTTACAAGGCCTTGTTGCAGCGACCGACATCTCCACCTTCATGGCTACACCTTTGCGCTGCTTTTTCCACCGCAGACGCCCCTCCCCCCTTTCCTACTTTGAACACACTTCGCGTGAATTTTCCACTCTGTTGTTGCTCTCGCCCGATTCAGTACCTCGATTCCGAAGACAGTACGAAGCCGATCTACCTGTACGTCAACTGCCCCGGTGGCTCGGTCATCGCCGGCCTGGCCCTCTTCGACACCATGCAGCACATCCGCTCAGAAGTGGTGACGATCAACGTCGGGCTTGCCGCATCGATGGCTTCGTTCATCCTCGCGGCGGGGGCGAAGGTGAACCGGTGGCGTTAAAAGTGTGCATCTCTACCCCACCCCCGCCACCGCCTCCATATAGATGGGTGGATCCACCGCCACCATAAGATGGGTGCGGGCTGGGAGTGGTGCAGGTCGCCCCGCAGCGCGCTCTTTGCTATCTCACAACTTTGTCGTTGTTCACATCCGCGGAAAGCACGCCAGGGAAGCATATTATTGAGAGGACGCTTACCTGACGCTGTCCAATGTGTGTCGCTATTATCGAGGCCATTTTTCTGCTCTTGTCTTTGGAGTGTCGCATTTTGTGTGTTTTGTCCCCATCGCCGCTGTGGTGTGTCGGAAGGGAGGATGCTGCTGCCGTTGTGTGTCAAACGAACCCATCATCTCGTGTAGGGGCTCGGACGGGTTGTGATGCACGCCGGTTCTTGCGTCCCTGCCCATTCATTCTCCGTTCGTGTTTGCTTGCCCATTAGAACCCGAAGCCAAGCGAAACCGCACGTTCTTTCTCTCTCTGTGGCCCACCCTTCCTTTGTTTCTCTCCCTGATTTTCTCCCCTGGCATCGATCCGGTTGGGCCGTGCGCCGCTGCCGTGTGGCCAAACGTGCAGGGGAAGCGCATGGCGCTGCCCCACTCCCGGGTGATGATTCACCAGCCTATGGGCGGAGCGCAGGGGCAAGCGGAAGACATCAAGGTGCGAGGAGAGTAGGGGGAGATACCGGCGGGTAGGGGGTAGGCGGGGGCGGGGGGCGGGGCGGGGGGGGG